TGTAATAGTAGGACTCATTTCAGGATGTGTTTTCTACAAGTATCCGTTATAATGCTGACTTAGCTAGAGGAGTTTACCCAAATACCATTGACGAATATGAAATAGGTGGGCACTCATATTCTTTAAATCAATGTCAAGATTAACGTCTTGCAGGACAGAATATCGGTTATGGGTGTAATGCAGCTGTTTATGCGTTAAAGGTTCGCGAGGTTCAACAAACTGGTAAATCCCGCCCAAGCCTGTCTACAAATCCTTTACGAAAAGCGAGGCGTGATCTACAAAATGTACTTTGATAATTTTCTAATTTTTATTTACGTCTCGTAATGTTCCTTTTCTGCAATGTTTATGCGGTTTCAGAAATATCCACTCGCCCTGAAGCTGATGTACAATTTCGCTTTGGATATGTGTCCTCGTTTGGGAGATAACTACTTATGGCGATCTATGGGTGCTGAGCTAGTACCACTTCCTGGAAGCGCACAACTTCTTAACGGAAGGATGGGCAGGTAATGCTATGACCTCTTGCTTCGATTTTGGACGATTATCTATGATGTAAATATTCGTGGTGAAACGCCATATTGATTTCTCCATTTTCTGTTCGAAAAATATCATCGTTTAGCGGAAAGAACACCGATTTACTTCACTTTTATGGTGAATTCGTTGACTTCACACTTTTTTTTTCAGTTTTCGGCCGTTACCTGATTTTCACCCAAATATTGTGCGAGTGTTGACAGCATTTGTTGATCGCATGCCTATCTTGGAAGACGCCAAACTCGCCTACCCTGATGCATTACCGAATGCACCATTCTACGAGATGATCATCAACGAACCTAGGACTATGTTTGTAGTAATGAAGAGGTAATTCACTTTTTGCATTGTGTTATCCTTTTTACTTTGCTTTTTTTGATAGTGATGCACGCAAGTCTCGTCCACTCGCTTCCATTTCTCAAACAAATATTTTTTTTTAATATAAAAGGTAGTAATCTATCGTAGTGTAACTGGTAAGTGTGTTTTTAAACCCAATCATGCCTTCTACCGTTTGGAGCTCATTTTGGAGTTTAGAAGAGGAAGTCAAAAATGGGGTGAATTAAGCACAATAAGGTGTCATTTTTGGAGGTGCGGGAGGGAGAAGCGTCATGAAGAGGTGGAATAAAAGGCTTTTTCATGTTCTTTTCTACCGCTCCTGTGCCAAGTGTGCGCATGTGTTTTCTCGTGAGGTTAGACTGTTAGACTTACTGCTTGACTGTGATTGAGAAGTAGGGAGCCAAGTTTGACAGTGAGGGAATTGTCCAAAGAGGACATTTGAAAAAAGCCGTAGTTGATAATTTAATAAGGGGAAATATTTACATAGGTCATTGTTTTAGGTATCGCATGACTTTACGAGACTATCTGGTAGATTTGAAAAGAAAATGCGGTGACTACGTTGGCCGCATATTATTCGGTCAGCTTCTAGAAGGATGTGTGTTTTTGTACGATAATACTGTAGCTCAGCGTGACATGAAGAGTGACAATATTCTTCTCGAATTTGATGATCCAGGTACTCGTAATGTTTATCGTCGATTTTTTCTTTGTTCAGTAATCAGTTACAGAAGAGGTTCCGCGATTAGTGATATCCGACTTTGGCTGTGCATTAGCTACTGGTAGCTGGTTAGTGAAATACGTTGATGATACTATTGATCTGGGTGGGAATAGAAGAACACGTGCACCGGAAATTGTGGTGGCGCAACCTGGTCCTAACTGGTATGTGTTGGAGTATTGCTATTTGATAATTTTGAATGTGTTTTTAGTGTATTGGATTTTCGCATGGCGGACACCTGGGCTGCTGGAGCCCTGGGATACGAGATCTTTACGAGGTAAGCCAAATGTGAACAGTTCTTGTAGTTCTGCCTTGATTTTCTAATGCCTCCTGATTTCTTATTGAATTTTACTTGAAATCAGTTTACCG